TCAAGGTGTTGGGTTTTTTGTTGTTGTTTTTTTTTGGTGGGTCTTGGGTTTGAACTCAGGGTTTTGTGTTTGCAAAACAGGCGCTCTACCTCTTGAGCCAGACCTCTAGTCCATTTTGCTCTGGTTATTTTTAGGAGATGGGGTCTTGAGAACTATTTCCCCATGCTGGCATCCAACCACATTCCTCCTGATCTCAGCCTCCCAAGTAGCTAGGATTACAGGCTGAGCCACCATTGTCCAACTTAGGGTAGTTTGTTTTGCAGCAATAGAAGATGATACAGCAAACTAACAAAGTTTTTTAAATTTAAAAGCACTTCATTTCAGGCTACAACTGAGTCTCAGAATTTACCAGAACAGCAAATTAAGGACCAGGTCTTTCATTTACTTGAGTTTTAAACAGATTTGTGGGAGCTCCATAACTTTGGGTGTATTGAGGTGACTTCCCATGAACCCTGAGGAAGATGGATCTTCAGGACCTCAGGGTTTCGCCTGCCCGCTGCACAGTCCTGAGTGTGAAGATGGTGTTTTTGTGACAGTTGTCATCAATGTCGACCTCACCCCCTCTCCCATGTCGTTTTGTGGTCCCTACCACAATTTCATTTATCCACTGGGTACATAACGCATACTAAGGACCATTTTTAAGTCAGGACACTTGGTCTGGAAGAAAATATGCACTCCAGGTCATGGGGCCTGTCACAGTCCCCACACTACCCAGATGGCCAGTTGCTCAGACACAGCAGGGGCTTCCCTCACCCTTCTGAGCTGTGCTTACCTGCCTGTGAATGTGAGCCTCCCAAGAGCGACTGTCCTGTCTGTGTCCACTGACCTCACACCATGCCTGGCTTGGTTAGGAGTTTAAGCTCCACCATGGCCCGTCTTCCTCCTCCACCTGCCTATGTGGGCTGCTGATGGAGGGAGCACAGCCCAGCAGGGAGCTCCACTTCTCAGTGTACCTGGAATGTCTAAGGCAAAAGGTGTCTACGCCTCACGTTCCACATCCGTCAAATGGGAACGATGGGGAAGATCTTTTAGCCCAGAATTTGGTACAAAATGGGCAATTAACAGCTAATGTTTGTAAATATTGATGCCAACTCACAAAGGCCACTATTGAAGTCCTCTACTGGATCTTAAAATGGCAAGCATATCACCATCGCCCCCTTGTGGCCAGGTTGGGATATGTACCTCTCCTCCACAACCCCAGTCCCCTGGCTTTCCCCCTTCCCTGCCACAGCCCTGCAGGGCTTTGGGAGTGTGGCTCAAAGCCTGGCCTGGCTCTCACAGCAGAGTTAAGAAGGTAACTCATCCCTGCTTAGGCCACCAACACTACTGTGTCTCCTCTTCCTGCTTCTGGGCTGCCACCGACAGAGGAGCTCCACAGGCGCCTCCAGCAAAGTGCAGTGTCTCGCCCTACTAGCTCTGAAGCGCTCCTTAAGACATAACTGGGACTCCCCTGGGAGGAATGCCAGTGCCCACTCAGGCAAGAGGAGACCTCCAGGAAGCCCCTCATGTCCCAAGGCCTCAGTTGTTGTCACAGCACAAGTTCATGGCTGGCTCCAAGGGAAAGACCCCCAGCTCCTAGAGGGGAGGTTGCTGTCCACCCTGAGAAGGGTGGCATTGGGGATCCAGGTGTGGAATCTAGGCAGTGCACCCGTGACAGACACCAGGGTGCAGAAGTGTGGGGCAATCACCACCAAAGCCTCCATCCAGGGGCCATGGGTCCCTAGCAACCTCAGGAGAGGGAGGAGCTGCCAGTTCAAGCACACAAGCTGGCTTTCCCTTTCTGCTGGACCTCGGTTCTGTACCTTCCATTCCAGTGCCTGCGTCCATCTGTGGGAGGCAGGTGACTGCATCTGAGTGAAGGGACTCTGTACAGCCCCTTTTAGCCCGCATGCAGCCACTCTTTGGGGAGGCCTCACACCCCACTGATTTAGGCTTGGCGGCGAGCCCAGAGTCCCCATGCTTCCACCCCTCCCTTCCCGGCGTGCTCACACACTGGCAACTCCACACATCCTCCAGACTTGGCATCTGCTTTTATTATTAATATTATCTTTCCTTTAAGCATCCCTTTAAGGGTGAAATGAAATCCAACCATTTACAGAGAAAATGATTTCAGAATGTACATATCGTTTTTCCTTTACAAAAAAAATAATACTATTATCATTATTGGTGTCCTTAAATTACACAATTCTCAGGGCCCTGCCTTCTGCTTGGGAGACTCCTATCTCTCCACCCTGACTATCACCATCATCCCCAAAAGCTCCCTCACGGCCACCGTGACAGACATGTCTGCTGGGTGGATGAGGCCGGCTGGATGCCTGGCTCAAGCCTCCTTGAGTCTAGAAGTCAAGGGGCCAGTGGTTCCTGGGCCAGGGTGCCCAAGTTCACATTCAGTTTGGTTTCCCTTCATACTGGGGAGTGGTCCTGGGCTCCTTGTCCCCCAAATTCCCAGTGTATGCTGTGGTAACATGAAACTGTACAACCCCTCCCCCAGGTCCTGCCCCTCACAAATGTCCCCTCCACTGATGGCCAGGACCACTTGCCTTGCCATGAACGTGCCCTCCCGCTGGTCTGACAGGGAAGTTGGGCTGGGCCTGCAGGTCTGTGCTTCTTCCTGTGTCCTTTTCCCCCTGAACTGGTGAAATGGGACAGGACCCTGCCAGCCTAGGGAGGGGGCTTTCCTGAAGCAGCCAAGGGTGCCAGGGGCAGGGGGCAAGGAGGCATGATTCAGGTGCCTGAGAGACTGCCTGTCACAGGGTGAGCAGGGGACAGCTTGGGAGAGCAGCCCTGGCTTGGAATGTCCCAGAGCTATGGGAATCCCCCACCCCCTTGAGTCAGCTCTCAGGGCCAAGAGGAACCAGAGGGAGGCTTCTGTGACTTGGAAGGAGGGATGTCCCCAAGGAAGGGAAGGGAAGGGAGGGAGAGAGGGGTCATGGAGCCCTTCAGCCTGCTTCAGGCCTGCCCACAGAGCTGCTCTGAGGCTGGTTTCCCACACCACAGCATGCAGGGCACGTCCCCCAGACATAGATGTGGCAAAGGAGACCCTTCAAAAAGCCCCCACATAAGACATCCAGAAAAATCCCCCAGGGGTGGGAGGTCAGATGGGAGGATGTGGTAGGCCAAGAGGTGCTGAGCAGATGGTAGGCACTCAGCTGTGTACAGTCCTCAGGCCAGGAGGGCTTTGTTTCTCAGACTGAAAGACAGACAGACAGACCTGTATCCCATTTAGCTTAGGCTCCCCAAAGACTTCCTGCCTCCGACACCTTGGAGAGCCCCAAGCCGGGTGGCCACAGGCTCCAGGTCCTGGAGAAGAGGACAAGAGGACCTGGGCCCATGCTCCCACGCCCACCCGTGAGCATCTACTTACATGGATACAGACATGTACAAATACACACCAAGCATGCACCCGTGCCCATAAATATACACACGTACACGAACAGGTACCCTTCCACAGGCAGCTCTGCACACTGGCGCCGGGGGGACACCTGCAGGGAGGGGCGTCCCACCCTTCTCACACACCTGCAGACTCTCACTGCACCCCGTCCCTGGGCAGACAGGGAGGCGAGTGGGAGCAGCTCATTTCTGAAGTCTGAATGATGAAAGCAAGAGTCCATGACTGCAACAGCCGTTTCTACCCCTCCCCCAGCGACGCTGTTCGTTCCCTACTTCCATCCTCTTTTTGCTTTGTATTATTATTTTTTAAACTTTTTTGAGACAGGAACTCACAGTGTAGCCCAGGTTGGCCCAGAACTTGAGATCCTCCTGCCCCAGCCTTTTGAGTGCTGGGATTATAGCTGTGCACCACCACACCTGGCTCTCCTCCTATAAGAGAACTTCCCAGATCAGGCTGGGCACATGGCAACTCAGCTGGAGACTACATTTCCCAGTTTCCCTTGAAGCTTTCTGACCACGTGACTAAGGCCTGACCAATGAGATGCCATCAGAAATAACTGTCCCCCTCGTTCTTGCTCTTCTGTGCTTTGGGATGCACAGGGGATAATGCAGGCTGAAAGAGCCGCTCTGCATCCAGAATTGGAAGGAGTGTATAAAGGAAGGCAGAGCTACCCTACTAATTCTGGACCATCCCCCTCTAGACAGTTTAACCAGAACAAGCTCATCTAGCTTAAACTACTGTATTTCAGAGTCTTTTACAAAAGCAGCTTAAAACCTACTCCCACAAGTACATCCCTTAGCCCCACAAGGCAAACTACAAGGACTGGGTTGACATACAACTGGCCTTAATGTCCCTTCTTGAGCCCGAGAGCCTCAGGGCCCCTTCCTGGCCCCTAGCCAGCCCCACGGAAAGGCTCAAGAGTGGTTCTACCTGGGATGGTGGTGAGCTGGGGCTGCGGGTGCCAGCAGAAGGGGTTGATGGGGAGGGAGAGACAGATGATGCTGAGGCTTCACTTCAGCCCTCCCCCACAATGTCCCACCTACTCTTCTGCCTGTCAGTACAGCCTGTAACTCCCATCCCACCCTGAGAACTGGACTCCTGGAGTCCTTGTAAGCAACAGAGGGGGCAGCCCACAAGACAGCAATTGAAAAATAAGAAGGAAGGTCAAGTCCAGGTTTGGAATCAAAAGAAGAGTCCTCAGGCAGGGTTCCCGGGACCCTCTGTGCAGCTTGCCAGGGGCAGGAAGCGCTGACACCCTCAGGCACTGTCTTCTGAGCTGGCAGTGTGGCCTGTGGGTCAGGAGGGCAAAGCCTGGTCCCTCTGGCCCAGCACTTCTGTGACACGACAAAGTGTCTACACCTGTCCTCTCAGCCGGATGTCCATTTTCAAACCTTCACTGTTTAGTGTCCCTTCTTGCTCTGGATCCAGATGCATCTATTTACAGAGACCTGGGATCTCTTGGCTCGTCCCCTTTTCCACCAGAGGTCCAAAGCCCCAGGATGCCAAAGGTGGGCTTCCCTCAGGTCAGACTGCAAACCCTCTTGGCTTGCACTCCTCTCACCTGGGGAGCCACCATGCCCTCTCCAGATGTACCTCCTGCCCAGGGCACTCTCGGCTGTGACAAAAGGCTGCATAGATGTCTGGGCTTGCTCCTCTCTCCTGATGGGAAGGATTTCTTTCCTTTTTTTTTTTTTTTCTCTCTTTTGAGCTGAAAGACCTGATCCTTGATTCACAAGGGCTTGAGTGGGGAAGACACCCACCCACCCATCCGCAACTGGTCCTCCCAAGAACCCCGAGCCAGCAGGAGAGAACACTGGGGTAGCCCCACTGTACCAAGGCCCTGAGATGATGCGGTCTTAACCCTCAATGGCGGCGTCCAACTTGCCCCTGGCCAGGGGCGGCCTTCCCTCGGGGCCATGGTTCCGCCGCCCTGCGTCCGTTGTGCTCTTGGGCTCCCGGTATGGGTTGTCCAGCAAGTATCGGAACTGGGCGTAGTTCTTGAGCAGGTACTTGGGGGCGTACATGTGTTCGCTGGGGTCAGCAGGCGGGTACTCCTGCTGCGTGCCATCGAACCAGCCCCCGGTGCGGATCAGGCTGCGGATGTAATTGAGGTCCCGCTTGTCCTCGTAGTCACCCCAGCGGGGGAAGTCGCCGTTCTGGGCGGACACGAGCTTGAAGTAGATGCCCTCGGGCGTGAAGCACCAAGAGCAGTGCCAGCCCGCGAAGTGCAGCGGGCTGCCCAGCGACCACTGCACCAGGATGTGGCCGGTACGGTTCTCGTACTGACGGAAGTTGGGCATGGTGTAATACTGGCGGCGGCGCAGGCGGATGCCGTCCAGCCCGTACACGGCCTGCAGCATGTCCACCGTGCAGCCGGACACCACCTCCAGGGTGCCAGGCTGCTTCCAGAAGAAGCCATACAGCGACTTGCGCATGTGGAAGGCGAAGGGCTCCGTCCAGCCGTCGTAGAGCTTGAGGAAGAGCACGCCATCGCGCGCCGGGATCTCGTCCGCGTCATCGATGATGAAGACGTCATCGGGCCGCAGGTTGCGCAGCCGCGACACGCCATCCTGCGTCAGGAAGGTGCGCAGGTAGTCGTCGGCGATCCAGCCGTCCTGCCGGCCTCCGGGCGGGAAGTGGTCCAGGAAGACGTAGAGCACCTTGTGGCGGATGTACTCGAACGTGCCATTGGTCAGCATCTCGCGGAACTTGAGCGGCCGCGGCTCCCCGTAGGCCGTGAAGTTGGACTCGCACACCACGAAGGCGTCCACCACGTCGCCCAGCTCGTGGAAGCGCACGGCCAGCAGGTCGAACTCGTGGTTGATGTTGATGGCGTTGATGACCCGCCGGGGCACCTCCCTGGGCACCAGGCGCTCCTTGGTGGGCAGGTTGGAGTACTGCACCACGGTGGGCACGCCGCAGCTGGGCCCGTGCCAGCCCGGCAGGCACACGCACTCCACCCACTTGCGCCGCGCGCGGCCGCCCGCGCGCTCCCGGGCGCTCAGCACGTGCCGCGGGGGGCGCCGCGCAGGGCTACCCTCCGGCTTCTCCTCTGGCCGCCCCGATGGTGGTTTCTCCAGCATCTTGGTACCTGGCTTGAAGCACACGCCCCCGGCTTTGGTGCGCACGAAATACTCGGTGGTGTCCTCGGGCAGCACAAAGTCCACCCGGTGGAGTTCCTCGGTGGCCTTGCTGGGGGACAGCGGCTGGAGCAGGGGTGAGTGCGAGTACAGAGGGGTCCGAAGCAGATCGGGGCCACCCGGCTCGGGGCTGGCCTGGGGTGTGACGGGGGCATTGTTCCAGAAGAAGCTGGACACAAGGTTAGGACTGAGGGAGGCCAGTTCTCGGGGGAAGGTGACATAGGACAGGGTCTTAAAGAAGTGCAGGAAGGAGATGAGGCACAGGCCGGCCATACAGAACATGAGAAAGAGCTTGTAGCGTCTCATCTTCATCCTGCAGACAAGGCAGAGAGCAGAGGTCAGGACAGCCTGAGGCTCTTCTAGAGAGGTGACCTGAGGGTGCCTAGGCTGCTGCCACCGTGGGAGAATGTCTTGTATGGAATCACCCCCCTTTGCCACCCAAAGGCCAACTGCACCAAGTACCCTGAGAACCCTAGCATCAAGGCAACAGCTCCTGCTCCCATAGCCCTTCCCCTGGAGGCTCCTGGGCTACCACACCCCTATGCAGCCTGCTTGTCCACCTGACTGCCCCACCCTGCCAGGACCAGCTGCAGGGCTAGACTTTGGTCTAGGAGCAAATTAAACCTGGGAAAAGTTCAACCACAGGCCCCAAGGGAGGGGACAGGGGACAGCATGCTTCAGGCTGCCCACTGCCCTAGGGTGCTGTTCCTTCTAGCTATTTTTTTTGTGGACATATTGACAATTTTTTTTTTTTTTTTTTTTTGCAGTATAGGGGTTTGAACTCAGGTCCTCCTGCTTGCTAGGCAGACACTCTACCACTTGAGCCACTCTGCCAGCCCTCTTTTTTTGTGATTTTTTTTTTCCCCCCAAGATAGGATCTCACTAACTATTTTCTGGGGCTGGCTTCTAACAGCAATCCTCCTGATCTCTGCCTCCTGAATAGCTAGGATTACAGGCGTGAGCCACCGCGCCCGGCTCTAACACATTTTAAAGATGAAAATAAGTTAAGGTTTTCCTTCATTACCTGTGCCCCAGGTACACAGGTAACGTGTGCTCTCCACACATGAAACAGTGAGGTGGAGGGCTGGCTTTACAGCAACTGTTCTGTTCTCAGTTTAGTATTTCTCACAGATATCAGATTCGACACGAAGCCCAATCAAGTTGTTTTCCTCAGTCAATGACAGATTTAAAAGATTTTTTATCAGTGCAAGTAGATCTGTTATATTTACTATTTTTTATTATTATTCATTTATTCACATGTGCATACACTGTTTGGGTCATTTCTCCCCCTGCCTCCTGCCCTATTATTTACTTTTAAATCCCATATATACTCCATGGTTATTTTGAGTGAGTAATGCATGATTCGATTTATACAGTTTATCAATTAGTTAATGGCTGAATGGAGAGGCTTGTACATTGCTTTTCCCAACTGAAATAAATCTTTAACTTCAGTTTTGTTTTGTTTTTTGTGGTACTGGGGTTTAAACTTGGGACCTACACCTTGGGCCACTCCACCTTCCTTTTTTTGTGATGGGTTTTTTTGAGATAGGGTTTCACCAACTATTTGCCCTGGCTGGCTTCATCCCACAATTTTCCTGATCTCTGCCTCCTGGGTTGCCACCTAGGATTACAGGCATAAATCATCACCGTCCAGCTTAACTTTAGAATATTTGCAGATTATCTGAAAAGTAGCCAAGACAGTAGAGTGTCCCTTGAAGGCCTCGCCCAGACTGCCCTGTGAAGGTCCTATACCACAACGGTACACTTATCACAAGGAGGAAACAGACACTGCATATCACCATGAACCAAACTCCACACTCCATTGGGACTTCTTACTGCTTTTTCAGACCCAGGGCCTCCAGGATGCTAAACCTACTTTCTACCTCTGAGCTGTGCCCAAAGCTTGACCTTGGTTATGTAGCCAAGGCCAAGTTCATCTGGGAAGTGGGCTCCTGCACAGAGCATTTCCACCTGTAACCATCTGCCTGTCTTATCCTTAAGCCTAGGGAGGCTGGGCTGGGAGTTACACCCAAGTGACTAATGAAAGACCTTGCCAGGGGCAAGTGGGATGGATAAGTTGCCTGGGTCCTAAAAGGGCTGGGACAGAAACCTGGACTTCGGCATCTGGAACAATCCTTCCACCTACCTTAGTCCTTCCTGTAGAACATTTTCTGCAGCTTGTGCTTTCTTGGTTCTTTAGGTCACCTGGGAGCCCTCCTCCCCCTCCCTTCCTGAGGGCAGAGGGGTGAAATGGAAAGCTATACATTTGGCCTTGAACCACTGTGGCCTTGAGCAAGGCCCCTCGCCATTCTGACCTGTGACGTGGGTCTAGAGTCCTGTGGCAGGTGCTTAGTATCCTTTGTTCCTTTCAGTGCTGAAGGCTGGAAGCCCGGGTGTCATCTTCTAGCTATGTGGTCATAAGCACGGAATCATGAAATATTTGGTCTAGAGAACCACCTCTAGGGGCTGGCAGAGTGGCTCAAGTGGTAGAGCGCCTGCTTAACAATCATGAGGCCCTGAGTTCAAACCCTAGTACTGCCAAGAACAACAACAACAAAAAAAAACAGTAAACAGAGAACCATCTCCTCCAGTCTTTCATCTGTTATACGGAAGGGTGCCAGGACCCAGGGGGCTGCAGGCCAGCTCAAGGTTACCACACTGGGCTGGACTCCACCTCATGGAGGAGCCCTGAGCAAGCTAGTGCCTCACAGTTGAGTTGCTACCCTGAGAAGCAGGGCAGGGCCTATAATATGAGGCTTGAGGTGTCCCACCCTCTCCAGCCTAAATGCCTGTCCCCTGGAGCTACCCACTGGGCTGGTGCAGTTGATTGTAGGCAGGAAGGACAAGCCAGGGTGGGGCCTCTCTGCTGTCATCCAGGGCAGAGGTAATGCTGGTTCCCATCTCGGATACAGACCACCTCTGAGAGAGCCAGGAGAACATTCTGCCAGTGTATAGGGCCTCGGAGGACCTGCCCACAGAGGTCAGATTGACCCAGCCGCCCCTGGGCTTCTTCACCAGACTGGCTATCAGGATTTGGTTACAAACACCTAGCCAGGTGTGGCCTTCCGAGGACAGGCTCGCCAGGGCCTGGGATCTTGCTGACTCACTGAGGCCTTCAGGATAGGGTTCCTTGATAAAGACCTGTCTGGTTTGCTGTTGAGAATCATGGAACTAAGCATATTTCCCTTATCACTTGGGCTGCTAGGAGGCTCAAAAGCACATTAGCACTTGAGTTACACCCCTAGCTCTCAAATACATTTTTTAACTGAGGCAGTACAGAAATAAAACAGAATAAATGCCAAATTCCAATACCGTACACACACACACTCAAAAAAAAAAAAAAGAAAAGAAAAGGGCCTCATTTAAGTCTCAGCTACTGGTGAAGTCATTGCCACTGTTTTTACAGACAAGGAAACTGAGACTCAGAAAAATGACAAGACTTCCTCCCAAAGATGTCACAATGGCAGCTGAGTCAGGACTTGCTCATGAGGTGGCCCAGTTAGGGGCTAAAGCCATAGGACTCACTAGGCCCTAGCTGAGGAGTTACTGCCACTACAGAACATCACTGAGAAACTGTCACAGATGCTAAAGTGCCAGCTGCTGTCTTGAGCACATTTCACACACAACCATACTGGTCCTCCCACCCCATTTTGCAGGTGAGGAAACCGAGGCCAGAGGGATGATCTAACTTGCACAGTGTCAAACACAGGTATCCAGGAGCATATTTGATTCTATAGGGCCAATGATGGGATTTTAGCCAGTGGCAAAGCTCTCCAGAGTCCCTCCCACCTGCCAAGTTCAACCTAAATGGCTGACAGGAGGCCCACGAAGAGTCCACCTATGACCAGTGAAGACCACAGAATGGATGGCACAGCCACTGTCACCTTTAATCCACAGCACCCTACAGGGTGCTTACCTCACCCTTATCACTCGTTCACTCAGCAGTTACATCCCGGGAGTCCCCTGAGTGCTGGCACCTCCCCAGATGCTGAGGATACAGCTGGGGAGACTAATACACTAAAGGTAAGTGAGTTGACAATAGTGTCTGGCTTAGGGACACTAGAGAACTCAGCATTACTTCTGAGTGTCTACCAGGGGGTTCCAGGGAGACTGCCAGCCAGCGGGTGGTCTGTGTGGGAAGATGGTAGGCATTACCCACTCTGCTGGGGGTCTAGAGGGAACAAAAAGGCAGAGGAAGGGTGAATTTCTCTCATCAAGAGCTGGGACCCCCTTCTCCTGCTCAGGGACACCACAACTGCAGGTGACTGTCCCCAGTGACTACCAGACTGAGGCTTGAAAATTATACCATCGGCTTCCCTGGTTCTGAGGCCCAGACTTGCACTGAGCCACATAGCCACAGCCAGCCCATTCCCCTGCTCAGTCCACTCACTCCTACGTCATGTCGCTGTCCTGCTGGAGAACCCTGCCGAACACAGTGACCCTTCAGCAGAGCGGAGGCAGGTGAGGGCATTAGGAGAGAACATTCCAGATGGGAGGAGCAGCCAGTGAGTAAGTTCCCAGGCAGGAGTGGCAGTGGTGGTCAGACCCTGGAGGATCTGCAGATGAACAAACACGGTGGCCCCGGAAGGATGGACCAGGCTTTGTCTGGGAAGAAGATGCCACTCCCCCACCACCCTTCTTGGGCCTGAGAAGTGGCAGGCAGGGCTAGGCTTCCAGAGCGTGGAGCTGCTCTCACCACTGGCTCTCCTCCTCAGAGAGGAGCTCAGGCTGTCACACAGCTGCCAGTGGCAGGGCCTGGGTGTTAGCCTTGGACTCTTCATATGATGAACAGGGTCGGGGGTGATGCTTTGGGTCTGTGGTCCTTTGGGCTCTGGGAGGAGTTGGGGCACTGCCCCCACCCCGTCCTGCTGCCCATACGCACTTGGCTTGACCCCTCTGGAAACTCAGAATCCTGGGGAGTGTGGGACTGTGGTCAGGACCTGCCTGAGGAGAGAGATCAGCTGAGGAAAGACTTCAGCAGCCAGGCAGGCACTCTCTAAGGTCAAAACCACTCTTCAGGCCCCTCCTGCTGCGCCAGCAGCTCAGAGCTATACTTAGGCCTCATTCAGTCTGGTATAATTCACCAAGCATTCTTAGGTACCTGCTTTGTGCCAAGGTCCGCCTCTCTGGAACCCCACATTGCCTAGGGCCTCACAGCGTTCACTGTCACTTTTACAGGTATAGACAACCCAGTTCAAATGCCAGCTCTGCCACTTCCTCTGTGTGTGGCCTTGGGCAGGTTAATTGCTTTTCTGCAGCTCTATTTTCTTACCAATAGAGTTAGATTAAAAACCCACATAAAAGCTGGGCACA